GCCGATGAACCGGAAACTGCTCCGAGGGCAAGGGAGGCGGGGTCAGGTCCAGAGGGCGGAGTCGAGGGGGCGGTTGACCAATCGGCGAGTGGGCAGGACGTCCGAAGGACCTGCAGGCATCCTCCTAAACTTACGCCACGTAACACTTAAGATGCACAAGAGTGTCCAGCTGCAGACGCCTGTAGAGTGGAGCTCCACCGGAAATACGTCACCTCCACAGGAAATACGTTATTTTAAGGGGCGTAAAGTGGAGCTCCACAGGAAACACGTGACCAAACTGTTTCAGTTGTAAAATTCTCAAAAAGTATGTTTTTGTTCATTTATACGCTAGAGAAATTAGCACAAGTTCCATGTTTGTTTGAAGACCTCAATTGGCTGTTTTAAGAGGTCCCATTGTGTCATTGTCTGTGTGAAATCAGGGACCAGCTGGAAGGAAACTTGATTGAGAACTTGGAAACCAATGACAATGACCTTGGTCCTTCTGGAGAGCATAAGGGGAAGCCTTCAGTCATGTTCACAATTGCTTCAAAGAGTGAGTGTGGCTTGATTCGTCATCATGGAATTATGAGACCTTTTATCATCTCTTCAGTGAATTGGCATCACAAATATGGGTGTTTGGTTGCATAGAACATCGTTTCTATAATCTGCCTGTCCTTCCACTGCTCTGTCCCCCAGGGTATAGAACCATCGAGGCCTTGTTACAAAGGATGTTCGAAGCTGACCTCAGCCCTGAGGACGATGCAGATGATGAAGATCACGATAATTCATTGTCTCCAGAGTTGAGTTTCCCAAATCCAGCCTTCAACACCACATGACTTTCACCAAAGGGGGTTTAAATGCTTTAAAAAGTGTACCTTGTCATATTCATATAAATATATATACATATATGTATATTCACTTTGTGTCCTGTTTTTATGTGGAATCAGCATAATGCACATATATTGTATAGTCAATGAAATGGAATATTTTGTATATTAATGGAATACTTTTTGCAATGTATGTTACAGTATACTGTTAATCTGCTTATTTTTGTATTTGTGTGTATACATACACACACACACACATACACACACACACACACACACACATATATATATATATATGTACATACAGCTCTGGAAAAAATTGAGACCACTCAATATATTTCTTTTTATTATGCATTTTTAAATGCACAATAAAAATGCTGGCAGAAGGCTATTCTGAGCAGCAAGTTACTTCCATGTTCAAAGTTTCTAAGACAGCAGTACACAAGAAAAAGGTAGAACAGGAAACACTTGGAATGACCAGAAACCAGCCCGGTAAAGGACGGAAGCAACTTTCTAATGCCAGAGGTGACTGTTAACTTATCTGACAGTTTCTCTTGAATCAGAGAATGACCTTAAGTGACCTTCAAAAGGAATGGGAAAGAAGTGTAGGTGTGAAGTGCACTGCTAGGACAGTTCATATCAGGCTCCTAGAAGCAGGACTGAAGTCCCATAAAGCAAGGAAGAAGCCCTTCATTAATGAGAAATAGGGAAGAACCAGGCTGCAGTTTGCAAAAAAATATGTATTTTTCACAGATACACACCCATAAATTGAGAAATGAGTGAAACAAAAAAATCATGATGTAGCCTCTTTGTATTTTTCACAGAGCTGTATATGTATAAATAAATATAGAAACTGCGCTTTCCCTCAGTGATGCTGATGCCATAGTTTTCTTTGGCTTTATATAAAGGTTTTAATATTTGATATGTTTTATGTAATCTTTTAATGAAGTCTAAAATAATTCAAATTCAAAATTCAGGTGTGAGTAGAAAACACCAGAAAAGACAATGAGGTTCAGTATTCAGTATAATTTTTTGAATGATATTAAAATTCAATAATTAATTCAAAAAGTATTTTCTTTGCTGTTCCTAGTTGAGCAGAATAGTTATTTACAGAGAGTTGACATATTTCACTTGCCTGGAGGAATACATGCACGCAGTTACAATTTGTCACATACAGTACACTGTAAAGCAAAGCTAATACATGCCATAAACTGAGGAAAACCTAACCAGGTTAATGTCATCTGTAGTAGATGACTGGATATTAGCATATTATGTGTTATAATATAGTGTTTGTTTGATTTGACTTTTATTTACCTTAAGAAAATATACGCAATAAAGTTATATCAAATTTGGAATACTAAAATCAGTTCTTTTTTTTTGTAAGCTTTCATAAGTCAGAGCAGCAGCGCAGGACTAAATTATGATATTGATTATATTGTTATCAAACACAGTCACCAGATTCATGTCAATAGCCAGGTAGCCGAATTAAAAACCTTTTTAAGTGAACAGAACTATTTAGTTGGGTCCTGAGAAGAGAGACCTGGGGGATTCTGGGTAGAGGAAGTGTAAGACAACACCGTGACTGAAGCAGAGCATGGTGGTGGAGGAAGCTGCTTTTCTGGAGCTGTGAGGCTGTGTCTCTGGCAGATTAATCAGCAGCTAGCTGCTGGCGCCTGCCCCCTTCCCCGCCACCTACTCTAGTGGCTTGTTAGGCCCAGACACCTAAAACTAGGACAGGTTTCCACCTTTCAGAACAATGACCCAGAACTTGGGGGCCTTTCATTTTCTGGGAAGGTGAATGAGTTCTAGTGCACCATTCACTGAGTTGACTTAAATTTCACAGAAGAAAAATTCCCCTCCCCCCAACTTCCCTGGTAAAGTGTGAACAAATCATAACATGCCAGTGTTACCCCACTGACAAATAAATGGATTATCAATCATGGCTGTGATATATTGTTTGCACCAAATAATTCCATCAATCAAGGACAGGAAGACAGGAGGGTTTGGAGCTTATGCCAGGCAGTAAAAGGGCACGTGGCAGAGGTACGTCCTGCACAGGATACCAGTCCAGTACATTGAAAAGCACTCAAAAGACACTAAACCATTCAACACTGCTGCCTACTGCATGATAAACGATGCCCTAAGTAACTAATGTATTTCATGTGCAATACTGTTTTTGATATTTGAATAACATTTCTTTTTCAGGATTCAATATTTCATTGGAAATATTTACTTGCAATTTCATAAAATGAAACACTGGTGGACCAAATTAAAATATTTTTCTCCATATTACAACTGCAGGCTATTTTTGTATAAAAGGTGTATAACATGATGTAACATTTGGGAGAGCTTCGCGTTGCATTGTGGGTTCTCCATGTGACGCTGTTATAAGAGGAAGGAAAGAAGGCTGGGAAATGATGCAAGAAGCGGCAGAGAGCAGTGGTAACTCTCGGAGCAGTGTGACTCTCCGAGCCACATGCCTGTGTAACAGCGACATGCAGCATGTTTCCTATTACACATGAACAGAAAAATAATTTCAAAAAGCCACTAAGAGAAGCCTAATATTTTAGCTCCGTGGCAGACACGTCCCTCTGTTTTATGGAGACTGCATTGCAATTGTGTGTTTTTAAACTCACCTAGTGGCGGTATGTTTTGGGGAATGTAGTCCTAGAGTCACATACGTTGTTAATGAACGACATATACCCAAGAGCAGAAGTTAATTTTGACCAGGCGATTATTATTATTATTATCATTATTATTATTATCATTATTATTATTATATGGCTTGATTCTGCGCTATTATGAGAGGCGGGGACCGGCATTGTATGTGTGAGATACGGAGGCTTCACGCATGTGCGTGCGTGAGTGTGTATGTGAGTGAGGGGCTCGATGTATGGGGGTGGGGGTGGCGGCTTGTGAGGGAGCTGGGGGTGGCGGGGGTGGGAAGCGGTGTCCTCTTGCGCCGCCTGTCGCGCACAAGTCGCTGGTGTCTTGGGTGTCTGCCGGACGGGATGCTGCGCTGCAGTGCGGACAAAAATTGTGACATTAGAAGGGGAAGTAAAACGCAGGAGGATTCGCCTATTTCACTACATCTCAGTCCTTTTTAAAACACGCCTTGCCTGATTTAAGATTCAGGCGTGAAGGGAGCATTTTACTGAGGCGGCAGCGTTAATATTCAGTAAAAGAGTGAGGTAATGATACTGACATTTATTATGTGGCCAGTAGATTTTTAAATATGTAACAGAGATATCAATGAGGATAAACTTGGTAACTATTTTATCTTACCGCAAAATGTGCGTGGTGCTCATTATAGATTGTAGCTGACAATAAAATACATTTTCCTGAATTGATCTGAATATGCATTGTCCAGATTTGATATCTGCACTTGATATTTACTAGCAAATTTGATTTCTGTTATTATGGCAGTCGCTGATTTTTGTTCCTTAAAATTACGTTAGACGAAGTGTTCACGTATTTCCACGTTAGGTGGTATAGCCCTGCACTATTGTACAATGACTAGAGATGCATGCGTTTTTGCTTGTTTGCCGAATTTGATTCAGATTTTTCTTTAGTTTCCTCCGGTTGAATGAGCTGACCTCTCTTTTATTAAAATGAATCCGGCCGATCGTGCGAAATTGAATGAGCCCAACGATTAGTTGGCAGAGGGGCCGTTTTTGGTTCAAAGTCAATGGGAGACAGAGGAAGTGTTGGGAAACTGCATTGACGTTTCGCGGTCCCATGAAGTCCCAAATGAAGGTTACAAAAAGAAGACGGAAAGCAGCGCCCGACTTCCTTATTCTCTGCGCCAGGTAAGATCACACCTAACGGGACATATGCGTCCTTTACCGGCATGCACTTGAAGGTTAACGCATCTGTAAGGTGAAACAAGTTGCATTGGGTGTGAATGCTGATCCAGTCGTAAATGTAGCGGTTGGTGATCAGTATCCTAATGTGGCGGTTTAAGCATCCATTCAGTATAACATGCATGATGTCATGCTTTGTAGGCGTTTAATTTACGGTGCATGTAAACTCTGCAGGCAGCGATGGGCTATCATGAGTACAGATAGTGATGGCATGGTCACAACTACAAATGGGCCAAGTGTCCGCCTAGTTACACGGCTATAATCTAGCAATGTGTGAATATTTATTAATATTTAAGTACTGTGCTGCCATGAATAATGATCATATTTATGGCATTTTATTTAGCTATTGTCTTTGTGATTGAAGGTAAATCTTATGACCATTATTGATTTAATATTTTAAACGACTTTTTCCATCTTTCCAGTCTTGTTTTTGTTAAATTTAACTATAAAATATATACAGCAATGTCCCTTGTGTCCTGATCTGTAATATGGTTATTGTACTCTGATTACTGTGTTCTGAGTGTCCTGATCATTACTGTCCATACTGAGTGTCACTAAATTGTGATGTTTGAAATATCGGAAATAAGTCATCAAAGCACTTTAAAAATAAAAATGGACAAGTACACTGATTAAATAAACTGACAATGATTCATTAAACACCTGCTCCTATCAAACAGAAAGTGGTTTACCACTGATCAATCGTGTAACATCATTGTTATCCTATACTGAAAATATTAATGTACATAAATAAAAACACATATTAGTGATGGTAAGGAAGTATATCAGTATATCTAAAATATTAAGTAGTGTGTATTAAGTATTTTTAACTATCCCTGGTTCTCTCTTAGCCCTGTACATCTAGAAAGGATACTAGTAGCTGTCTTCAGTCCGCGTGGGTATGATACGTTAGCGAGTTTAACAGATGTTCCAGTAGCCTCGACTTTTGGCCTGCCCAGTGAAAGGTTCAGCCTGGAATGTAACTGGGAACGAAAGACTGTGTGAAAAACATGTAGTTTTTCAGTATGATGAGGTTTTCAGAGAAATTCATGATCTTGCTCAGTTTACACAAAACCTGTTTGCAAGAAATACGTGTTTTAGAGGCTGGATCATTATATGTTTAGCCGAAAATATTTCATATGGCGTCTCTGCATCATCCTCATGCACCTCATTTCCTGTCAAAGCCTATTAATATGTGTCTCAGATTTCCTGACCTTTGCTTACGGTTGTTTGACCTGCTAAAATATCAGATGGTTGATTGTGAAACCAGGAAAGGGGGTCCTCAGTTACCTGATACTAATTCCTGATTAGTATTGCATTTTTACTCACAGTGGGAGGGCAGTGTGTTTTCCCATGAGATAATATCGTCATTAGCTGCCATACACATAGTAAACAGAATTTAGAAGATTACATTTTTTAACTAACTGCAGTGTCCTGTTTTACAAGAGGTGGACAACGGCAGCGATCCGATACTTCCTCTTTACGATATTAATAAAGTGTTAAAATTACTACGCAAGTTCGTGCTTGACACTATCAGGCTGGTATTTTGTAATGCTGAATTCCTAAGCTTGAAGAGGTTGTATTTGCATATTCTGTTATTTGGCCTTCAAGACATAATTATTTTTTGTAAATGCGATCCATGTGCATGTTGAGGTAAGATTATATTAGCCTGACTGGTGGCTTTTTTATAACTTGCCACTTTAACATTAAATGAAAGTACCAACAGACATTGTTACATTCTATTACATCAGCAATAACTTCTCTACCATCTTATAGACCAGTGTTTAATGGTGTTGTACACTGGACTTAGCAGTGACCACTACCAGGATGCAGTGAAGCACCACGATTTTTGCATTTTTTAGTTTTTATATGGTTTCTGCTCCACCCAATATTTTTGCACTAGAAACAAAGTCATTATTATAATTCTTATTATCTGTTCATTATCTGGATGGTAAACGGTATTGATGACTGATTTTACTGTGTATTTTTGTATGCAATCCTGAATGGACAAAAAGTTTGAAACTAAAAGTGGAAGGGAGAGTCCAATCTTGTGTTTTGAATGCCAAAATATGACAATAATATATTCATAGGTAGCAGACATATACTTGGGTGAGGTGTTTATCTTGAGATGGGAATAATATAAATTTGTATAGAGCTTTGAGGCTCCTGAGGCAGTCTGGAGGCTCGGTGGGGAGCATCTTCTCCTCCAAGCCTCCAGAGTCCAGCTTGTGTGTTGAGTTTGCACGTTATTCTGTGTGTGGGTTTCCTCTGAGTACATCAGTTTCCACCTACAGTCCAGAAACACGTGGATTAGTTTGGATGGTATCTTTGAATTGCACTCTCTCTATACCATGTGATTCTTATCCTAGTGTCACATGCCCTGTGCATTCTGGGATACACTTCATGCTCATTATGGAACTGCACTGGAGAGCTCTCTGTGTAAAGCTTTAGCTTGTATCATATGAATTAGCACCTGTAGATTTCAACTTCCATCTGTCTTCCAACTGCTCATCCTCATCAGGGTTGTAGGCTTGTATCCAGCACCCCGGATGGGATGCAGGAATGACCTCGTGCAGCTACCCCTGTCCAAATTATTACATTGACTGGCTTTCATATTTGCTCCAGTTTTGGGTATGCACAAAACAAATGCATCTGTAATTGATCACTACTGTGCCATTAGAGATGAATGTGCTCCGAGTCTTAAAATGGAGAAGGTGAATGGAAAATGACCTAGCGCTCAATAACAGAAGGAAACACACCCTAAGTGCATTAATTTGCTTCACAGAGGATGACCGGGCAAAACTGAGGTATCTTGCTGAACTCCCTACAGGTAAATGTGGCTTGTTTAAGTGTGGAGCTGCTTGAGGACTCACTGGCCGGCAAATGCAGCGCCAAGAGCCAGCCAACCAGGATCAAGAAAACATGAATGGTGCCGGGGAACAGGCGGACATCCTGGCACCCAACTGTATGGTCCGGGACCGATGGAAAGTGGTCAGTAGCTGCAAACTCCCGTTTCCCATTGTCAGAGACCCTGGGTCATCCTGCTTTAGAGAATGTGCTTTAAAGTATGTGTGTTTCATGGCTAAATTAATGTAGGACTCATTGAACAGTTACCAAAATTCTAGTATGCTTAATTGCATACTGAGTTATATACCATAAACATACAAAAAGAGTAAATAGATGCCAAACTACTTCTGAAACTTTGACTTAGGTGTATCCTAGCAATGAATAATGAAACATGGATCATTATTAATTGGAAAAATGCTTAAAATTAAATCAGAGAATAGATATTCTATTGTGTAAAATTATATAAAACAAATGAGAATTGATTGCATTGACATATGTTGAATAACGTGTGTGAATGTTCGGGTAACATTTAGTTGCTTTACGCTAATTGTACTATTTAGTGTTCTGTGTATTGATAAATATGGAGATGATTACAGTGGGTACAGATCTTCATTTCAGTTTGTTTACTTTTATAAATCATCATCAATAGATGTTTAGATGAGTCTAATCTACACTGTACATTTAGCATTTAGTCCAGTAGGTAGAAAGCGATGAAATCTGCATCTCTATTGTACCAGAACAAAAGCACAGTATTTCTTAGAATAGCATGTTTTCTACTAGCCTAAGATTTTTTTAAATGGGACAGTACGAGAGAAAAACCATCTTTATGCCAGAAGTGAACTACAAAGACCCAAAACTCTTAGAAGCTTAAGATCATCCCTTTGAAACTAGATGGAAATCCAGAGCTGTGGAATAACAGTATGGGTCCTTTTTTCAACACGTACTCACTAGGAGGGGTCCTCAGTGGAACGGACCTTGAAGTGACTTATAACGATTTCTTGAGGGCAGTAGAAATGCACAGCCACGGTACCACAGGAAAACAGGTCTTTTAATAAGCTACACTGAAGCAGACGTCTGTGGGACGAGACACCATGATTTAATTTCGTACAAAAAGATGCAGTTTCAGAAGAAATACTGAGGTGCTACCAGCTCAGGAAATAGTAGAGGGATGTGGAAATGGTGTCTGTTAGCCCAGATCTGCTGCCAAGGTGGGTGCTTTGCCTGTGAAGCGAACTGTGGGGTTTGAAGTGGATATTTAACTCTGACACACTCAGTTGAAGAAGATTGGAGGAGGTGGTTTTGGGGAGATCTACGAATCCGTTGACTTGTTGACGAGAGAGATCGTGGCCCTGAAAGTGGAATCCGCCCAACAGCCCAAACAGGTCCTCAAGATGGAAGTGGCGGTTTTGAAGAAACTGCAAGGCAAGTTGGGCCAGAGCTGCTGCAATTACCCAGGCCATGCTTTCAGGTTAACCTGAGGAAGGGCCTCTTGTGTTTTTGTTGCATCTGGGCACAGGTGTTTTAAGCATTATAATAAATATGAAACGTTTATATGTTATATAACTTTAATTTCATCAGACATACAACAACATTTTTTATCCACCCACCTTCCAACCATCTCTGTTGAATATATTAAGCATCAATTGAATGTAGAGAAACGTAAAAGATTTTTTTGTTTCTATGGTTCATGGTTGTGTTTTTATATTTCTATGTTTTTTTTAATGAAAATTTTTGTGTTTCAGGAAAAAATCATGTCTGTAAATTTATTGGATGTGGGAGAAACGACAAGTTCAACTACGTAGTCATGCAACTTCAGGTACATGATTTTATGCTTCTTGTACTTCCTTTTAAAAGTTTTGCCTTTTTAATTATTTTATTTGAATTTTTTTAATTGTGCATTTGTGGATAAAGTGTTACTTTGTTTTTTACATTATAACCTCTTTTCAGAAATGCTGTATTCTGTCTCTAAGCCTCTTAAATGGTAAATGTTGCAGACAATTGTTAAATGCATATTAAATACGTATTTGCAAACCACAATAATAGGAAAGCCATTGTTCTCCTCACAGAAGCAGCTGACCAAACCACAGAAATGAGACCGTAGCAGTCATTAGGAAATGATAATGAACGAAGAAACAGCTGAATGTCAGTGGATTCAGTAGCAAATGTATGTGTTTTGGCTCCAAAACAAAATTACTAAAAGCAATAAAAGAAAATGATCTAATTAAAGTCCCTGGGCAACAAGAACACAAATCCACAAACCCATTTTGGGGACGTTCCTCAGAGTCCAATTCTGTACCCTAAGAGGTACATTTACTTACATTTTCCCTGCCCCCTTCAATAGCATGGTATCATATAAACAAAAATGCCCTTTTATTTATATTATTTTTATACAAAGTTTGAGTATAAGATGGCAAGTCATACTAGAAAATTGGCTTCCAAAGAGCTGAGTACTTCAGACACGTTAGAATTTTTATTTATATTCTTTATTATGATTTAGGTTATCCAGACTTAAGATGGTTCATATAAGCCAAGAGACACTGTTTAGAATTGGGCAGGATGATAAAGTGTCAGGTACAGCTGCTAGATTTAGCATCAGCACAGCTTCATTCTGGTTGACTGTATGTTTGAAGAGCAAAATGTTGATTGAGTTACTCTCAGTGTGGTTATCTTTAGTGGAAAGTAATGGACCAGCATTAGAAAACAACCTTCAAAACAGACATTTGACTGTATACAGAGTTGACATAGGTTGAGCGTCATGTGAGAAGGGTCCGCGCTTTTCCTCTCCAGGGTAGAAACCTTGCAGACCTCAGAAGAAGCCAGCCACGGGGAATCTTCACCATGAGCACTACCCTGAGATTAGGAAAGCAGATCCTCGAGTCAATAGAAGCCATTCATTCTGTCGGGTTCCTGCACCGGGACATCAAACCGGTTGGTATTTTTCTAAAGCTGCCCAGTAGCTCTCTGTTATCTGCTCTTTCGGTGAACTGGAACCTACAGACAGGAAGCGGACAACTGTGAAGGTGCTGTGTGGAGCATGTCATCCCAAGGAAAATTGTAAATTATGTTTATTTTAAATTCTTATTTTGTAGTTTTTTTTCAGTGAGATCCTAGATTCAGGATGGTGCAGTGGTTCAGTGGGTACTGTCACCTCACACCTCCAGCGTTGGGGTTCTGAATTCTCATGCTCAGTGTGGGTGGAGACTGCGTATTCTCCCTGTGCTACCAATGGGTTTCCTCTGGGTACTCCGGTTCCCTCCAGCAGTCCAATGACAGTCAGTTAGGAGTTAGGTGAATTGGCTTCTCTAAATTGCCTTTAATGTCCGAGTATATGTATGTGTGTGTGTAAGTGGTAAGTGTGTGTGAGTCAGGTATATATTACATTGTGGGGACCAGATGTCTACACACTGTGATAAAAACCTATTATTTTGACATTGAGGGACCAATGCAAATGCAGTCAACTAAAAATCAACTGAAAATGTCAAAAGTCTTGTGTTTAGGTAGGTTACTTATAGTTAAGGTTAGGGCTGGGTAAGAATTCCCATAATGATGTGTGTGTGTGTGTGTGTCTGTGTGTGTGTGTGTGCGCGCGCCTCACACAGGTCTGGCATTGTGTCCAGGGTGTCTCCTGCGTTGTGCCCTTGTGTTTTCTGGGAAGGACTCCAGACTCACTGCCCCTCTGTAGCGGATAAGAGGTTATGGAAGATGGACAACTTTCCTATTCCTCATAAGTTGCAGACACGGCCTATGAGCTCTTATGAGGAGGATTCCTCATGTATGACCCCCTCGTATGTGTATCGATAATCACAACGACGTGATCGCTCAATCAAACCCACAGAGTGCTGCAGTAGCTGCAGATTTTGGGGTCCGTTTAGTTCTTTGTTATAATCCCATTGAAGTTCAGTCACCTTGGATTGTCTCATGCTGCTGACCCTAGCAGCCCCACCTCCCCCCGAAGAAGGCAGAAATCTGCGGGTCTGAATTCTCTGCAAATTTCCTTTCTATAAACGCCGCAGGTCCAGAGGTTCATAAAACCAGCCGTAGGGTGGCTGCTGCCACCTCAGAAATGGAGCATGAGGTCCCAGAGAACCGGCTTTTGTGACTTTATCCTCTCAGTAAATGAGTTGGATGTGATACATGGAGCAGGGTGAACACCTTCCATTATAAACCATTTCAGATGAACATTTCTTCATAAAATTGTCATTTCTCAGCTTTGGTATGGAACAAGCAGTACAGTCATAAAAAACAATTTGTTACATTAGCTTCAAGTGATGATTTTTGTATGACCTGTATAGTTAGAAAAAAAAGATGAATTACCATAATATTTGGACCAAAATGGAGTCGGTAAGTGATGTTGTGGATTTAGATGTCATGGTGTGGAGTGCTTCAATCTGGTCTAAGTTTATGTCAGAAGAATCTGTATGGCTGTGTTTGTACAGACCAAAGACACACCTTTCATGTCAGGGGTCCTGTGTGATGAGTGTATGTGCATGTGTGTGTGTGTGCGTGTGTGTGTGTGCATATGTGCGAGCGGGTTTACCTATCCTTATGGGGACACAATGTCCCCATAACGTGATAAATATCCGTTTTTTTCCCCTTATGGGGACCGGTTTCCTGGTCCCCATAAGGGAAAACTCTATTTTATAAAAATCGGTGACTGCTATGAAAAAACTAAAAATGCAAAAACTCTTGTATTTTGTTAGGTTACTTATGGTTAGGGCAGGGTAGGGGTTAAGGTTGTCATAGTTAGCGTTAGCATTTTTCCCATTGAAATGAATGATGCATAAGTATATGTTTACCCTACATGTGCGAGTGTGTGTGTGTGTGTGTGTGTGTGAGAGAGAGAGAGAAATGGACTGCTGATCTTTCCAGGTGTATCCTGACCTATATCATTAGTTAGACTCTGGATCACCAAGACCCTAAATGGACAAACGGGCTTTTATGATAAATGGAAGTGTACATTTTTTTAAACTAGGCTAATAAAATTTTAATGTGGGGGTTGATTCATTTTATTCACTGTCATATGATTTCCTTTGTATCCAGAGAAAATGGTACTCTATGCACTGTTAACAACAGCAATAAAACACTTTTATTTAAAAATGCCCTAATTTGACTAAACCCTAAAGGCAAAATCATCAACACATTTTATACTCCCGCCCCCCCGAAATTATAAATATGTTTATCTCTGTCCACCCGTCTTCCCAGGCAATGTAGGGGATACATTAGTTGGTGATTGTACTGTATGTCATTTTCAATGTTTTTAGGGTGGGACTTAATATGTGTTATTTTTGGTTGTCCCAACTATTTTGTTATGTTTTGTGTTTTGTGTAATCGCAGAGACAGATCCCATCAGGTATCTATTAGTTAACCATGATAATGAGATTGGTTTGTCTTTATAAATAACTGCTTGCACTATTGAAAACAAGGCCATCAAAGTTTGCTCCCAGTGTTCTTTATTTTCATACTTATTTATGAATGATTATCATTTTAAAAATCCTGTTCTTTCATTTACAGTCGAACTTTGCAATGGGACGGTTGCCATCTACATACAGGAAGTGTTTTATGCTGGACTTCGGCCTTGCGAGACAATACACAAACACAAGTGGAGAAGTCAGACCTGTAAGTTACCTTGTTCCAGCTATTTACCTGCTATTGTAATGTGGGCTAATGCTTACCAGTAGCAGAGTTACCCTGACAGCCCAGTGCATTAGTAGCTCTGGCCCAGTGCGGTACCTTTCAGATCTGCTCCTGGGGGATTCTGCTCGCAGTGTTGGTTTCTGTTCTGACCAGGCTCTTAATTAACTCCATTTTATTGGCCTGTTATGAAGCAGTAACCTAATTGCACCACTTAATTGCAAGGAGAGATGGACTATTTTTAGTATATTTGTGTCCGTAAGAAGAAAACATGCCTTAACTTTAATAGGGTAATTTGTCAAGAAGTTGGATTTATTTCAGTTTGGATAAATCAGTGTTTGATAAGCATCAGTAAGGTACTAAGTAATTAATGTTCAATAATCTGTAATAATTACTTGTTCTGCTACTTATTAGCCAAACAAATGAAAATCTGTCTTCTTTGAGGTTTTGAGAAGATATTGATTTTGGAATTTGACAAATTTAAGTATTTTGTGTTTAGTGAAGTTTAAAAGTGCAAAGCAATAATACAGGACATCAACGATTCATCGAGTAACTCAAATAATTCTATTACAAAAAATCCTCGATGCAAATTCTTTGCTTCGATGGTTTGTTTAATCCACAAAACTATGTACGCATCAGTGATCACCGTGTTTCACACGGAGGATTATTACTGTCGCACAGTGTTATTACGGCGCATTACGTGTAGCAGAGTGGTAAAAAAAGAAAGAAAAACAGAGTGGCGAAACTCCCATAGGGACATAGGAAATTTCCGGGTCTTGGGGACGTTGAATAGTTCCAAACGTTGACATTCACGGCATAGAAACACGTTCACTTCCATTGCTAACGAAGCACTTTTAAGCGGTATGTTGATAAAATATATTTTAAAAAAACATTTAATACATTAGGTGTCATTAATATACTAAATATTATGCTGTTTTTGTGTATGTGCTCGGTATTAGCTGTTAATGTTTATAATTAATCACTGATGATTTTGTCAACTACTATTGACGCGGGGTAACGACAATGTTGTTCTGGTTATCAACGGCTTCGTGATAACAGTTAGCTGCACTGCTGCCATGTTGATACACCCGATTAAAATCGTTTACAGTTCTCCTCGGGTCATATGGTTCAGTCAATTTACTACCAAATTTATGGCAATTTATTTATTTGCTAAAAAGAAAAATCCACATTCTGATAAAGTGTCTGTATTTTTACGTGCGCTTTTTAAGTGCCGCATTTGCAAACGCTTGAACAAAAAAATGCTTTTTTCACATTATTTCATCTCCCTCATGTTTAATTACTTAGAATACCATTGAAATAAAATAAAAACTTCTGTTTGTTTGTATTGACCTATATTTTTTACTCGTATTACCCCCACCTCCACTCTTCCTCCCTAAAGTGCAAGGTGTGAGTGGGACATTGTATTTAGAAGTAGTTTTTGCAATGTTTGGCAAATTTAGCTTGTTTTGTGGATAAAGAATGACAATGGATTTTGAAAAATGGTCACTTTTGAGAGGTGGGTGCATTCTATACAAGTAAAGAAACCGGAAGGCATATTTTACCTGGCAGCCTTTATGAAACATTATACAATATTATTATTTGTACATTATTTTTATTGGAAACTGGTAAAAAAAAATCCTTGAATGTTAAACATTTTGTATGTTAATTTTATAAATGATGTTTTCCCTTAAAAATTAAGGAATTAAGTTTTAGCATGCTGCATGCGAAAAAAACAACTTCCAGCTTGCCAATGGACTGATGCTTGAGATTACACTTCATGACAGACTCGGGATAGATGTCGTTTGTAACCTGAGGATTTCCTGTAAGAGTCAGTATGTTTTCTCAGCCGTGACTCTCTGTATCAGAAAGTTTTTGAGAAATTTTCGGTGGGAGAAATTTTAAAATTAATATGTTTACAGCAGCTTAGTTGCTTTGTCAGTATTTTAAGAAATTACAACAGCAATCTCATTATTGGATGTACAGTTTTACTCATTTAGTGGAAGGAATATGTGTGCTTTATTATGATGTCAGATAAGGCTTTGTGTGATTTGTCTCATTGTTGTGTAATTGAATTAATTTCATTTACACTTTTTAATATATGCAGCTGCCTGTAGTTAGATGTACAGTATTAACGTGGCATTCTACAATATTATTTTCTTATTAGAAAATACTTCTGTCCTTTTCATGCTTAAATTAGTAGTATATTACCTACATTTTACATTATGAAATACTACATATTTTAAAAATCAAATTGGCTCAGCTTATACCTTGAACGTTACTATGGGGGGCCCAGTAATACCTAAGTACCCATGCTCACTGGCTCTGCAGTGGGCAGCGTAACACTGACCATGAGCGATTCTGTACTAGGCTGCTTCCTAACAGCCTGTAGCACTGTTAGCTGCAGCAGCTTAGCTGTGCCCAAAAACTGCTCATTTTTAATTTCACATTTCCTTCACTAGGGAAGAATATAGTACAGTCGGCCCACCAGATCCATGGGGGATCGGTTCCAGGACCCCCTTGGATACCAAAAGCCACAGATGCTCAAGTCCCATATATAAAATGGCGCAGTATTTGCATGTAAACTACGCTTATCCTCCCATATACTTTAAATCATCTCTACATTGCTTGTAATACCTAATATGATGTAAATGCTCTGTTAATGGTTATTATACTCATTTTTAGGGAATAATGACAAGATTTAATGACATGTTTAATACAGACACAATTATCATAGTACATATAGAAAATATAATTATAGATGGAGAAAATATACATTCATTCTCTCTCTCTTTCTCTCTCTCTCTCACACACACACACACACACACGCGCGCGCGCTCGCGCCTGCAATGTGTTAACATTCACCAACACCCAGAACTACACAACACATCACTCACATGAATTCAACGCTTAATGCTCGGTGTGCGGAAAATTCAAGGTTTGTTGTTTGGAACTTTCTGGATTTTTTTTCACCCCAAATATTTTCGATCCGCGGTTGGTTGAGTCCACGGATGTGGAGCCTGCGGATACGGAGGGCTGACTGTATTTGGAAGCTGTAGTATGTATTTGTACACAAGTTGTTTTATGTTGTATTTTATTTCAGTCCATGATATCTGAAGATGGGGGGTAGCACTGCTGCCTCACACCTCCTGGGGTGCAGGTTTGAATCCCATCTCTGTTGTGTGTGTTGGTTCTGTACTGTATATTTTCCATTGTTGGAACCAAATGTCCCCCCAGTGTGATAAAAACCTATTATTTTGATGTTGTGGGAACTACTTTTTGGTCCCCACAAGAGGAAATTCAATTTTCTGAAAATCTGTGACTGCAATCAAAAAACTAAAAATGCCAGAAGTCTCGTATTTTGTTTGGTTACTTATGGTTAAGGTTAGGCCTGGGTAGGGGTTAAGGTCATCATGTTGGGATTAGGATTTTCCCCATATAAACGGATGGAGAGTCCCAAAGATATGGATACAAACGTGCCTGTGTGTGTATGGAGTGAGCATGTTCTTCCCGTGTCATGTAGGGTTTCTCTGGTGGTGCTAAGACATGCCACTGGGTGAGATGGTGTCTCATTACTGATTAGATGTCTGCGCAGCGTTGGAACCTCATCCTGGGCCGGAAGCTCCAGACCGAGTTGTGACTCTGACTGGGATAAATGGTTGGAAAATGGATGGATGTCTAAAGTCAGTGCCATAGCAGATTGTCAGAAAATGCAGTATGGATCCAGATGACTAAAAAAAAAGGTTTATTATGAAGATGGGAATCCTGTGAAAATGGGCATGTGGCAGCCTTTACACAGCTATGGTGCCAGGTCTTATGGCTCTTTTCCCCTCTTTGATAGGATAAGCAGATATTTGTATTTATTTAGGATGATATGAGTAGTGACAGGGCTATTGGCTCTGAGCTGCGCAGACGAAGCAGCTCGATGGGACTCAAGTGCAGGCAATGAGACTGGGACCCGGAGTGGGATCTAGCAAACTGCAGCCAGAATCTGCCACACCGAGCTCATTCGGAAAAGCAGAGTCGAAACCATAAATCCAAATCCACAATCGAGAAACAGATAAAGGAGAAAGATCCCAAAAACATGAAACCAGAATGGCAAGCTTGAGATCCAGAGTGAACCTGAATATGTTGAGTAACAGCAGGTGTTAGTGAATGAGACTGTTAGGGGGTGGCTTTGGCCGTGGAGGAGAATCATGCCTGCAGCAGCATGTCTTTGAAGCAGAATTTGGACTGGATGCTCCCTAGAGGGCCAACTCCTGACACACTTATTATAATGGTCGCCAAACTGGCGTGACACCCAGGGTATCCCCTGCCTCCTGCCCCGCGCTCCCTGTAACGGGCACACGCCTGCTGTGACCTTTAATGGGTGAACATTTTTGGAAAATAAATGAATGGATGTTACCTATTTTATCCCTCCTGTCCTTAAACAAATCAAACAAAATAGATGCTGGGATCTGAGCTTAGATAGATTTATTACCACTAGGGTCACGACCCCATTACCTCCTATCCCAGATTATCTGAGGGTGTAAAAAGCAAAATTAATTACTGACGACTAGTTACCTTCAAACCTATCACAGGCCCCCTGAGTTGTAGGGTTAAGTCAACTACCAAGAGATTTTTCAGCAGTGGCCTATCACAGTGACTCAACATGGTCCTCGGGGACCTTCAGACAGTTAATGTTATTTCGCCCTTCCAGCTTCCTGTAGAAAGCAAAAATGTGAACTGTCTGATAGGCAGCTGGCGGGGAGCAAAAACTTGCGTCATATGGGGGTCCCCAAGGACCGTGTTGAGAAACACTAGTGTAATATAAATCCAGTTGGTATTGATAAGCTCATTGCACTATTAATTGCTCCAGTTCTAACTGAAAAAGATGTGGATTGTACATGGCATGTTCACAGATAAATGCAGCCATCAAGTAATCACTTAATGAGCAGAGGTATTTATTTATTCAGAGGCTTTATCGATGGGGCAAACATTCCACTGAT